GGTCCACCATATCATCCATTCATTCATTGCACGCGTTACGCTACCTACACCTACGCGTCATGGTCGCATTCTCTCGACCTTACTGGCCTTAGGTAGGTACCTAGGATACTACGTCCGACGCAGGCCTATCTGCCGTCTCGCTCCCTTGGCGCACGACTTTGATGAGTGGAATGCGGCGCGTGCACTACGGACACCGTCCAAACGCCGCCCATTGCAAACGCCCTACGATTTTCCCATCGCTCGCTACTGATGCAATATATCCGGACGAAATCAGCTGCGCCGGTGGTGCTGGAGGCTACCGCTTCGGGCTCTGCTCCTGCCGCCGGTTGCCGCACCCACGCTTGCCCCCTCATGTAATCTGTAGATGTACTCTAATATGGTCTCGTAACACAGGACAAACTGGCGGAGACTCTGGACCATGCTAAGTCGCTGGCTACGGAAGTCCTCCACAGTCTCAGCAATGAGGTCGATCGTGTCATCCCCCACCCACGCCGTGTTGAGTGAGGGGCCCTCCCAAGTTGGCTTGCCCTCTGGGCTTGAGCGACTCGACCGCTGAGGGGACGTGGCAAAGTTGAACGCCTTTTCCTGGGCCGTCTTCGGTGACACCACTTCCTCTACTTGGCGCTCTCCGCTCATCTTGATGTCGCCGTCCGAATCGCGCTTGCGGACCGGTTTCAAGGTCGTCCGCGCCAGCCGCTGCCGTTTGAGCATGTCGATCACGCTGTCCACGGTGCAAAAAGTTCCAGTGCGACCGCACCCGGCCGAGCAGTGCACCAGCATTGGTCGCGCCTGTGCATCAGCTTCCGGCTCGTCGTACCAAGCCATCGGCGGATCTGGCGATGCGCGAGGGCCAGTCACCGATGGCGTGTCTACAGGCAGAGCCGCGCGCTGCATGACATTGGCCAGTTCCACCAGACCAAGGAGGTGGGAAGGTTGAGCCGGTGCACCAAAATCAGGCCACGACGGATAATGAAGATGCGTGATCTCACGAATTGGGGCAAATGGATGCGCTGCGTGTGACATGGCGAACTTGCGAACGATGACGTAGGGCGAGTCGCTGGATGATGTGGAAACCGGGGCCGGCGTTGCGCCTTCTAGCGACTTCGTAAATGTCGTCGTATTTGCTCTTCTTCGGCCCATGCCTGCTGACGGTTGAGATGTCGTCTGTGCATGTGAACCAGAACGATGCTTGTCAATGTCAAGGGAGACTTTCTTCTCAGACAGGAGCCTGAGCTTGGTGTGACCGAATTCGTTGCCTTTCCAATATGGATGGCACTTAAGTTGGCCACCTTCGGACTCGGCTGTTAACATGACGATGACCCGAATGTCTTGATCCCAAATCACGGACCAGAAGTCCTGCAGCATGTTAATCAAGGCATTCGTCAGTTTACCACAGGAGCAAAAAACACCAACCTCGTAAGTGGCAGGTAGAGGCCCTTGAGCCGCAATGTATCGCTTGTTGCTTCTCGACGCCTTGATATGACTGGCGTTGACATAATCGCAAGCTCCACTCTCTCGGCCCTGCAGCTTAACGCGAGAATGGTCAAAGGGCAAAATGTCCTTGTAGCGATTCTTCACACCCTTCTCGATACCCGAAAGTTGAACTGGAATGGTACCCATTGATTTGGACTCCGGGTCAAAGACGGAATAGGCCTTCTTCATGCGTGATTGCTCATCCTTTTCAATGTGCAAGAATTTGTCCGACACCTGTTTGCCGTGATCGTCAATGGTGGATGCGTCTCGGAGCCAGCGTGGGAGTGAAGGAGAGTCCAAGCCTTTGGGTCGCGCAATTTCGAGCTGCCCGACTCCGTCTGCGAGATCCATGTTTTGTCTGATATTCGAAAAAAACGGATTGGGGTTATTTGATGCGTTCGGTAGCATGACGCCTCCAATGACGGGCAGGATACCTGCGTTGCCACCACTGTTGTTGCCGAGGGGTCCAGAGCCGTCGTTGATGCCGGATGGAGCGCCGGTTTCGACAAAGTCAGGGTATGCTTCAGAAAACGCTTTAAAACCGCCTCGCAAGATGAACATGCCACCTTGGTAGCCTTCGGCGACGAATTTCTTAACCATATTGACGCAAGACACGGCGTCGCGCTTTTCTGAAGAGTGCGAATCGTATACGACTAGGTTTTCCGTGGATGCCCACTTCGTGAATTGCTCTTTGTCTTCGGGATTCTGAAACGTTTGTTGCAGCTTCGTAAGATTAAAGGTCGCTCGTTTTAACAACGTGGTAGGCGTGCAAAGGTTGAGAGCACTCTTTACTCGCGCATGCAAATATTGCTGAGACACCCTCAAGTCTAGCAACAGCAGGTCAGTGTCTCTGGTTTGCGATTCCAACAGAGACTTCAGATGCGAGGGATTGATCAGAGATGGTCCATGCTCCATGTCGGCAGGTAACGTCTCGGCTCGCTGGTGCGATCTACCCAGGACAGATGGTGTCGGCGGATCTGGCCTACTGTTCGGGATAGACAGTCTCGGGTGGCGATCCTCAACAGTGGACAACATGGTCCTCCGTTCGAACGGGGGATGCAGATTGCCGTGGAGACTCGGATCTGGGCATGCCCAAGATTGAGGGAGGCTGAATTGATGATTCCGCGTCCCGGTCTAGAATCGGACGACACATAGGCTGAATCGTGAGCGCTGGCCCTGATCGACATCCCATACGGCTTGCAGGTCGTTCTCTTGTCGTACGGCTCGCTGGTGTTTCTGATATGCTATCGCTGGCGTGAGTATGCCATCTAGGAGGAGGACGAGGGCGAGCAGGAGCAGCACCGGCGTCGCCCGGTGTGGACGGTGCGCCAAAGTGCGAGGACGATAGGTTGAAGAAGCTTTCGCCGCGGTTCAGATCGGCCTGCCTTTTAAAGGCCTCGTAGTCTGGGTTCGCGTCGATGGTTACCTGTCTCGGGAGGGCGGCGGTGAAAGACTTGACCGAAGAGGTAGGGGGGCTCCAGTTATCGCGAGGCAGGAGTGAGCTGTCCCTGCCGTCGTTGGACGACTCGGCAGGCGCCAAGCCAAAGTAATTGGGACTCGTAGCTCGCGCATCTGCAATTTCTGCCGGGAGAGAGCCTCGGCGGAGGAGGATAGGCTTGGCCAACGGAGAATGGCATCCTTGGAGAAGCGACGGGAGTAGAGGCCTTGGAGCCATGGGGCAGATCGTTTGGCGTGTGAGTTGGAGCGGGGAGTGAGCACGACCATGAGAGGACCGCGGCGCTCCTGTTGATCTCGTTGTTGATGGGGTTTTCATTGCGTAGTGGACAGGCGTTCCTTTTCGCCTGTTCTTGGGACTCTGTCATAGTATTGCCGGTAACGGCGTAGGTAAATACGTTCGAGGACAGGGTCAGACCTTCCGTCTACCCGTCTAGAAACCGGTTCTAGAGTTGGTCACCTTTAGATTAGTCCTTATTGCCGATG